AGTGAGTGAGTGAGTGAGTGAGGTTTTACGCCGCTTTTAGTAATATTCCAGCAATATCACGACGGGGGACACCAGAAATGGGCTTCACACGTAGTACCCATGTCGGGAATCGAACCCGGGTCTTCGGCGTGAGGAACGAACGCTTTAACCACTAGGCTACCCGACCGCCCCGATATGTTGTTGGGCAGTGTTCTTTCGAATCAGGAAAATTGCCACCATGCAAGTTCCCATCGCTACAATCCCACCCCGTAATTTCCTACCCAGACTATTCAACTTTCACCTGTATAAATCCCACCGGAAAAAGAGCTTCACTGACAGGTCCCTTAAGGATAAGTGTGACCTTGAAGTTCTCACGCAGACAAATGCACCCGTGAAGATCCGGGTTAGGTCTTCAGCAACCAATGCTTGCTGTAAAAGGCTTGTACTATGCTTGTCGTAAGAAGCGTCCCACGGGATCGGGTGGTCAGGCTCGCCGACTTGGTTGATGACCTGTGGGTGAGTGAGTGAATGGACGCCACAGTCACTATCACGACGACCTGTGGGTGAGTGAGTGAATGAACGCCACAGTCACATGTCACGACGACCTGTGGGTGAGTGAGTAAATGAACGCCACAGTCACTATCACGACGACCTGTGGGTGAGTGAGTGAATAAACGCCACAGTCACCTATTACGTCACACATATCTCACTGTGGTTTGTTGGTTGGTTGTTTAACTCCACACTCAAATGGCTGTTCCAAAACCAGATTTTCATTGCAGGCATTCACCACATGCTTGTATCGGACGAAGTCGGAACTGCATTGTTATAAAACGTCTCCCTTATACCAATGCGGGTTGTCTCGCATACATTCCCTGAAACAAAAATATCTGAAGTTCCCAAGCAAGTCTGCTTACTTTGGCAAGTCTAGATTTCTCCACGCATGAACTGTGTTAGTGCCGTGTCGTTTTGACGTCCTCTCTTTCAATTGTTCCAGCCTGCTGTCTCTGATAGTTATGTATTTTTGTTATTTTTAAGCGCAGTTTTCGGAAAAGGACGGTCGCATTTTGTACATTTGGATGAATGCTAACAGTCCGCGAAGCAATTTGCGTTTTGTAGACATGTTTACTTTGGTGAAAACATATTATCAAATGAGGTGAAATTGAGTTTAACGCAGCGTTCAAAATTATTGTACTTTATGTAGCGACGTGCATGCACATGTGTGTGTACTGAATGCTTGTACTAGTCCGGACGGTTTTGTATCGCTAGCCCACTGAGATACCATGCCGATGGATACCACACTCAGACACAGTATCCTGACTCCGAGCCGACCAGTCCTTGTTTTATCCTTTTAATGCCGAGAGCCAGGCAGCGTAACAACAATTAAGTAACAACTTTTAACGTCTTTTGGTATGACGCGGCCGGGGATCGAACCACCGATTTTCTGGTGTCCGGGAAGACGCTCTTTTCTCCAAACCACAGAGGAGATCTCATCCAGTCCAAAGCATAGACTGCACCGGTCGACCCAGCTAGCCAATATATTAAAATAAGAGTCCAACTTAAGTCTAGAATGATTTGACAATTCTAGATTGAAATATTGCATTGTTCTGGACGTTTGACCTTTGGCATGACGTTATTTGATTATTAGTTCCGGTTATAAGGGTGCAATGCACCCTGGGGCGGACGGGTAGCCTCATGGTTAAAGCATTCGCTCGTCATGCTGAAGACCCGGGTTCAATTCCCGACATTGGTACAATGTGTGAAGCCCATTTCTGATGTCCCCTGCCCCCATTTCATGTGCCATCCGCTGTGATATTGCTTGAATGTTCCTAAAAGCAGCGTAAAACCATCCTCACTCACTCATTGCATCCTATACATGTATATCCATCTAGTTGATACTTTTGAACAATAGATGAAGGCTTTCTTCTTATTTTTCCAACAGTTGCATTAGCATGAAACGAAGAAACATAATGTTTGTATACTTTGCAACACCAAATAATCCGTCTGGTACAGACAAACCTCATTATGGGACGGGACCAGATCCCATCATCTGGATTCAAACGGACAGCCCAGCGAAACCCACTCATTCCTACATCCGACCCTGTCGCTCTATTAATCAAATAAATTATATGTCGCGTTTGAAAATGCTAGCCCGGATGAGCGAGTGCACTTTATTGCAACATGTCAAAAGATTGCAGCAATGCTAGGCTGGGAATGATTATCAATAATCGCTGTCTATTTTTACGATCTTTGTATGATATGACAAAGAAATAATCCGAGCCCATTTACTCCGGCTTGACAATGAGTTATTCAAGACAATCCTTATTTCTGTGGGACGATTCCTAATCAATAACCCTGCGCGACGAAGACAAGTGTGATGCATCTTCCATGACACCGTGACGTGGGTAGTATCGTATATCCTGAAGTTGGATTGGGATATTTTTTATCCTCTACATCTTATCACAAGCCACCCTTCCATCGGTAATTTTAGCTTCAATGTATCAATATGTGATGTGTGAGGATGTGTGTGTAGGATTCGGTTCGAATACATTTATGTATTTGGGGACCCAACTGCAGCAGTGTCTGTGAGGGTGTGCTATGGCGTCGATGTGCCGTGGGAGTATAACCACTCAGATGGGATCGCCAAACAGCTATATCGAGTATATGATAATATTTCCCTTCTGAAGTCGTGTCATTTCGAAGCAATGCTACCGGTGATCGAATGAAAACAATGACACGTCATCAGTTTCCATCCTATTCCCGAAAACTTAACTTATATAGCGACGTGCATGCACGTGTATGTGTGTGTGTGGCTGCTTGTACTAGTCCGGACTGATGCCGATGTATAGTGCTAGCTCACTGAGATACCATGCCACAGTTTAACATGAACGCCCCACTCAGACACAGTATCCTAACTCCGAGCCGACCAGTCGTTGTTTTAGCTCCTTAATGCCGAGCGCAAGACAGGGTAACAACAAGTACCATCTTTTAACGTATTTTGGTATGACGCGGCCGGGGATCGAACCCCGAACCTTCCGCTCTCCGTGCGGACGCTCTACCTCTAGACCATGGAGGCGATCCGAAAACTTAAGAGATTCGTATGACAGTTTGCTTGTGGCATGGTACAATGATAATTTCTGATGCGGGGGTCTTCACGGGGATACGGTGAGAGATTGTTGGGCAGTATGGTCACATGGTTGACTCGTGTTGACGGAGCTTGGGGTTAGAGAGACGATTTTACAAGGTGTTCTATCCACGAAATATGGCCGAGGACGAAAACCAGTGGTCGACAGCATGAGCATCGACACAAGTTAGCCAGACAACACATTGTAACCCCGTCCTTGCTAGTCGGCATTCGAGACGAGAACAGGATACTTGTGATCGACTCAGAATCCCAACATAGCAAAAATGCTTGGAAGACCATTTCACTCTTTTGTATACCTGTGAGGATCCGGGTTAGAATAGGTCTTCAGCAACCCATGTTTGCCGTAAAAGGCGACTATGCTTGTCGTAAGAGGCGACTAACGGGATTGGGTGGTCAGGCTCGCTGACTTGGTTGATGCATGTCATCAATCCCATTGCGCGGATCGATGCTCATGATGTCAATCACTGGACTGTCTGGTCCAGACTCTATTATCTACAGACCGCCGTCATATAGCTGGAATATTGCCGAGTGTGGCGTCAAACCAACCAACCAACCAACCAATCACTTGTTTGTAACTAGTAAAACGTTCGTCGTTGTGCACCGGCACTGGTTTGGTTGATCCTGGCCCCAGATATTAGAAGGCAGTAATTGCAGAGTTATAATTAATGACCCCGAACGAATGACCCATTTCACAAGCAATGATGTATTGATTAGCCTATCAATATCATCACTGATGTAGCCTTTAGACTGAAGACCCTGGTACAAGATACGAAGCCCGGTGCTGATGTCCCCGCACTGATAATGCTGGTATATTGCTTGATGTGGCGTGGACCGCGCTCACCAACATTCGCACACAAGAGCGGGGAGTGTATGTGTATGACGTACAGCTGACATTGAATGGAGGCCAATGTCATACAAACGTCTCTATGCTGGCAAGAGTGAGTGAGTGAGTGAGTGAGTGAGTGAGTGAGTGAGTGAGTGAGTGAGTGAGTGAGTGAGTGAGTGAGTGAGTGAGTGAGTGAGTGAGTGAGTGAGTGAGTGAGTGAGTGAGTGAGTGAGTGAGTGAGTGAGTGAGTGAGTGAGTGAGTGAGTGAGTGAGTGAGTGAGTGAGTGAGTGAGTGAGTGAGTGAGTGAGTGAGTGAGTGAGTGAGTGAGTGAGTGAGTGAGTGAGTGAGTGAGTGAGTGAGTGAGTGAGTGAGTGAGTGAGTGAGTGAGTGAGTGAGTGAGTGAGTGAGTGAGTGAGTGAGTGAGTGAGTGAGTGAGTGAGTGAGTGAGTGAGTGAGTGAGTGAGTGAGTGAGTGAGTGAGTGAGTGAGTGAGTGAGTGAGTGAGTGAGTGAGTGAGTGAGTGAGTGAGTGAGTGAGTGAGTGAGTGAGTGAGTGAGTGAGTGAGTGAGTGAGTGAGTGAGTGAGTGAGTGAGTGAGTGAGTGAGGTTTTACGCCGCTTTTAGCAATATTCCAGCAATATCACGGCGGGGGACACCAGAAATGGGCTTCACACATTGTACCCATGTCGGGAATCGAACCCGGGTCTTCGGCGTGACGAGCGAACGCTTTAACCACTAGACTACCCGACCGCCCCTATGCGGGCAATATTTCACTTGATATTTGATTTTATAAATTATTAGCGGAGAATACAATTTTAAACATTGCTTGAGACTTATTGCATCCTCGTTAACCAGTACGTTATAAGTCATCCTCACTTGAAAATTATAGTCAAGGCTTTTCACTATAAACGTGGTACGTACAACACACCGAGGTTCGACTCCCGTATTTAACCCATGTGATGTAGCGCTTTGAAAGTTATGATACGCGCTCTTTTCCCTGGAATATTCCATTACTACGTACGTATACCCAGTAGAAAAACAACAAGACATAGTATTCATGTTGACAGATAACTTTATAAAAGGCGGCATCCGTCGTTTATGTGTAACATATGTAAACAACACAAAACAAACAACAGTTGGCACTTTCTTGCAGTTCCATAAAAAAAATCACAACAGTCAGACTTTCGATGAACACTTTTGATGAGAATGAATGGAGCAACAACGTCTATGAAATGCAACCACGTGCATTATAGTGATAAAACAATGCTATGATCCCCTCGCGCAAATATTATCACGTGTTAAAATGCCAGTATCTGCTTTGCCTTTCGAATTGTTGAACACACCACGCGCATCCTCCGAACGTAGTCTTTTGCGAGGTTCAATCTCGTGAAATTCAAAGTCCCGTTCTCGCTTCTTCGACCGAACACACCCACTCGTCGCATTTGAGATCAATACAGAGTCAACGTTTTCTAAAAAGACAGGCAATTTTTCAAGCAGTTCCTGATCTGCAGGTGAGAGCGTGTTCCACGTGTCGTACACACCACTGATGCATGTGGATGATTCAGTCCGTGCGCAGGTTAATTGGTTGCCGCGCCTGTCTTTTTCCGATGCGCAGGTGTAAACACAGGCTGTGCCCGTCACTGATGAACTATTGTGTTTCACGGGAATGTCGCCACTGGTAAAACCACAAATATTATCCAGAAAGTCAAACTCGTCACCTGAGGGCGCGGCGTCTATGACGTCATCAATAACAGACTGGAATGCGTTCGTGTCGCCACTGTTGAAATTCTCAACTGGGGCTTCCAGATTAAAGGAATCTGCAATAAAAGACGATACATAATCAATGATGCGTCCGCGTGTTGAACAGTGATTATATATACGAATCTTATATGTAAATCTCCCAAGTAGATTAACAGGAGGCGTAGTTCAACAGATATGGGGCTGATGCACTTATCAGTCGAGCCCTAACTGTGTGTATATTATCTCTATTTGCTACAGTCATAATCTATGTTCATGATTTTCCATCAAATGGATATATATATATATATATGTATTCAAAGCGGCGTTAAACCAAATCACTCGCTCACCTTTAAAGAACCTTTGTGTTCTTTAAACAAGCGAAACTACTTAATTGTGCATACTATTGTTTACAGCATATTATTTGGCTTCTTGTTCATTATATCAAAAGGCCATTTTACTGTCGTCTTTCGAATAACCAATCAGCTACATGAAATGAGACAAAACAAAACCATACACGAAACACGTTCCCTGAATGACGACATGGCATTTCTGAAAGTCTATAAATCTTCAATCCAAATACAGCAGAATAAAATAGCGCATTGCCATAGCAACATTAACAATGAATGTTGACATGACAGCTGGTATCCGATCAGGATGCTTACTTATGTTCCGGAGACAATTTTTTACTACATGTGGACTTATAGTGTGTTGCATATGAGTGAGTGAGTGAGTGAGTATGGTTTCACTCCGCCTTAGAAATACTCCAGCAATATCATGACAATAGCCTTAACGCATTGTGCTCTAGGCTAATATGTAGTCCAAGAAATAAAGTCATTTTATTAAAATATATTTATCACCAATGTGAGTGAGTATGGTTTAACGCCGCTCTTCGGCGTGACGAGCGAACGCTTTAACCACTAGGCTACCCGACCGCCCCATTTATCACCAAATAACAAAATAAAATCCAAAATGAACCCCCTGAAAATTCCTTAATTTCAGACCTGACAAATCATTCTAGACTTGAGTTGGACTCCTTTTTTCATTTATTCGAGAGGAACAAATTGTACCCTTGTGCGGATTCGAACCCAGCAATCGGCGTGACGAGCCAACGCTTTAACCACTTGAGTAACCCCACCGCATCATGTTGCATTATGATGGTTACACACACAATAGATAAAGTATGCAGAGGAAATAACAAAAGAACTCACTCTTGTCAATTCATGATTCATTTTCATATGTGAATATGATATATGCATTCGTGCATATACAAAGGCAATCGAATGATGACAGACCATATGGCCAGTGGGTGTGGTTGCCAGTACATAATTACTTAATCACACGAAACTATAGCCAACACGTTAGTGAATATATACATACCGATCAGTGAGAAAAGGTCCTGAGACAGTTCCTGACCCGAAAGTGGTGAAGTGTTTTCTCCTTTCGAGATATTGTCCATATTTGCACGTTGTAGCTTTGCAGCAGACGACAGCTTCTGTAAAGACGATTGGGCGTGGAATCCCATTTCATCAATACTCTCAATATCACTCGTGTCCATTTCACAATCTAGTATTTGATCGACATTCGAAGGGTTAAACGCCCTTTCAGATGTGTCCAACATCTTCTCCCGTTATCGCTATATCAGCTTTTCAGCTCGGTGTTTAGAGACGAAATGTGTAGTCGGCCGTCTGCTATTTATACTCGTTGCTCCACGTCATTGTAAACACCGAGTCACGTGATCTACTAACAAGCACGTGATTTCTGCGCTCGACGTGGCCGCACTTGCTTGTCATTCAGCGTATTCCTGCTCGACGAGCCAACACCTTGACGAATAAGAGCGTTTTGGAGGGAGGGGCTTTTGTTTCTGTCTCGTATTTCAGATATCGACTTAGGTTTTCTCAATGGAATAGCCGTTTATTCTACAAGCTTCTTATACAGATTTATCCTTACGAAACTCTAACCACAAACGGATATGAAATAGGAGGGTTTTACCAACTAGTTTCGTTAATCGGGTTTGTGTGTATTGCGTATTTCTAGTCCAACTGGTTATACCGTGGATCAACCGTGCTATAACCTATACAAATTAATCACCGGTGTGATTATGTTATTGATTCCGCACGCTAAAACGATCAACGCCCAAATGACTTCTTTTGAAGGTTAAATTTAACCTTCTTTTCAAGGTTTATTTCATGCAGTTGTATATGACGCCATAATGCATAACATAGCATACGTGGGGAAGAAATAAATTCTTTACTTATCAGTTGAGGAAAATTAAGTACTGCTGTGAACGTTAATAGAACCAGGTGTGACAGTAGTGCATTAGTCGAGGCGGGTGTGGCATCGCTCCATTTCGAATTTAAACTGGCCGTTACGAAAATATACCAGCTAACTTTCAGTATTGTTTCTGCTGTTATGGAGGATGACGAACACGTATTGCTGTGCTGTCCATTATACTCAAGCATTTTAAGAGGTCTCACCGAGGAGCGCTTTAAATGGTGCAAAATTCTATTTCACTGTTAGATTGTGGAGAAATGTGTTTAATGCTATCTTCATCTGACATATTACCTATTACGTTGTTCGTACCTTTAACGTCGCTTTTAACAGTATTCCAGTTATATCATGGCGTACCAGCTTAATGTGGGAGGAAAGCCCGAAGTGATGCAGGTCTGAGACGTTTACCACTTCGGTGAAACCCACGAGCACGGTGCTGACAAACATAGAAACATAATCGGGGCGAACCCGGATTCGAACCCACATTCATAGGTTTCTGGCGTGCCCAAGGGACGAAACTCTGCACCACCAAACCCAACAAACCCACCACCCACCCACCCCAACACACCCCACCCCACCCCACCCCACACACCCCCTCCCTCCTCCTTGATGGGGCTTATGAATAAACTATCACAGCTTTCAGTCTGCACACCTATGACCTCATCCTTTAGCACTGGTATTAACAAGTCTTGTGTGGTCGAAACGCAGCTTAGTAGTAGTTTGTGTATATGTTGCTGTGGTTACGTTAACAAAGGAGTGAACGTTTTCCTATATTGCGACATAGACACCTGAACAACTGCTTCTCAGCTGCATTCACAACGAGCCCTCAATAGGTTTATTGAAAGACTGAATGAGTACGGCTTAACGCTGCTTTGAACAGTATTCCAGTTATACCACTGCCTATCTTGCAAACGTGGGAGGAAAACCCCGAAGCAGTGTTTGAAATAAATACGTCCCAGGCTTCCATCAGGACCCACAGACTATAGAAGCTGCAGGCCCTTTCTAAAACTTTTCAGGACCTCATTTTAAAAACTGCAGTTTATTGTGAGAAATACATCGACATGTAATGCAGGCCATATAAGGACCCATACAAATTTGAAACCATGGGCGACCCGTGAAGATCCGTAGAATAGGTATTCAGCAACACCTGCTTGCTGTAAAAGGCGACTATGCTTGTCGTAAGAGGCGACTAACGGGATCGGATGGTCAGGCTAGCTGACTTGGTTGATGCATGTCATCGTATCCCAATTGCGTGGATTGATGCTCATGATGTCAATCACTGGATTGTCTGGTCCAGACTCGATTATTTACAGAACCCCGTCGTATTGCTGGAATATTGCTGAGTGCGGCGTCAAACAACAAATAAACAAACAAACAAACAAATGAAACCATGGGTCTGACACGAGATCTCATTACCACGGACATGTGGGCAGGCGCTTAGCCCCGAAGTAATGCAGGTCTTAGACGCTTACCATTTTGGTGCCGACAAAACTAGAAACACACACATGACTACTTAAAGACTAAATAACTGTCATTGATAAAGGTACATATGAATGTAAATGTGTTGATAACAGGACATTAATTATTAGTATAATTTTGTTAAATATTTGACTTACAATATGATTAATCTTTAACAATGTACACAGCAAACCACTTGTCAAACCACTTGATTGCGTAAAATATGCTTTCCCTTTGAAACAGCTCCACACCACTGGTGTTGATTCAAAGTATGAAAATAATTCAACATAACTCATGTAAACAATACACGAATGCTAGGCAGAATCTGAATTACTTACGATTTTATACTTGTTTAAATTAAACTTTTAAGAAAGTCAATGAGGTCCGTCTCCTGACAAATTAAATAATCATAGCGTCTTCAAGTCAGCGGAGAGGAATATATTGTTTTAAAAAATCATAAAGGGATAAAATTGAAATATTGACGTTTTGCCTCAGTAGGAGTCTAGAGAAATCTGTGTGTTTTCAGAAGTCATCATAAAATTATTTTTTATTGAGAAGATGAACTTTAACTTATAGACCGTTCGATGTGACGCCCGATGTATGGATACATATAGCTCCGCTGTGTTATGAAGATTATTGTAACAGCCAACTATTGACCAAATATGGTTAACACGAGTATAATACCGATTCAACATCTCATCATGAACTCATCCAGGATGAGTTTTGACCATATTTTTATCCTGTCTTTATTTGCATCTCCGTGGGAAATTATCTAAGGTCCAAGAGCTGCTCTTGTACTAATATTAGATAATCGCTTTCTGAAAACCGTTGTAATCAGCCTTTTGATTCAGTTTAACAAACCTCTACATTTTGTGTTGTTATAAGTTCAAGATGTTCAAATTTTGAAAAAAAACAAAGTGTTATTCACATTAATATGAATCACATAACATTGTAATAAATTCTAAAAGGTTTTAAGATCTGTAACAACAAAGGTTTGATAGATAATAATCGTTAATAATCCTCATCATATATACCGGCCCTGCCCTATTGAAACAATAATAGTGAAACTTAAAATCATGTTATGGGCTTTATTAGAAGTTTTAACATGGTTGATATCTATCACTTAATTATTGGGGATAAGTGGCATGGCATCTCAGTAGCCACACCCATCCACGTGCAGGTGAAATAATTTTGAATAAGACGTTAACCCTATTTCGCCTGGCCGCGCTACATGAAAATAACACAGCTTTATAAACATACCTACTGTTAAAATGTGTTGCAGCGAGCAACCGTTTGGTATTCTGCCAGTTCGATCAAATACTGTGCCAGAATTGCTCCTGAATTTTACAAAATTTACATTCTCCACATTTTTTACACATTCTTGTTACATGTCTGTGCTTGAAAAGGGCTAGTTGTCAACGGAAATACCTGTTCAAAATTGTCCTGCAACGTTGAAATTGGACAAATCGACATTACATATATTAAAATTTGATATTTTTACATACATTATTATTATCAATGTAGTCCACTTTTTATCAATGACAGAATCATATCTCGGCCGATTTCCAGATGTTGACCAAGTTTATCCAAGTGTCCACCCCCTGTCATTCACATCCCCCTGCACGTGCCCGTTGATATAAACAACAACATGGCCATCAATCATACATACAGTAGGTGTGTTTACATGGACAACCTCATCGCTGGAGGAAACGAGGCAAAATGTGACGACGTATTCACCTAGAAGCGCCCTGGGGGCTCTGAATCACTTCAGTGTAGGGAAAAACTCATTTGTTTGTCTGGAAAAACCTGTTCACTTGACATTTTATCTCCATATCAAGGAAATAGCATATCAATATATAAAGGCGAGGTGAAAAGAGGTTTGCGTCGCGTTCAAGATCACTGCAATTATATAGCGACACGTGTCATAGTGCAAACCAACTAAGATAATATGCATCAGTCTAACAGGGATACCCCACACAGACTATATACTGACTCCAAACCGACCAGGTCCTATTTTATCCCCAGGCAGGGAAACAACAAGTACCATATTTTTAACGTCTTTTGGTATGACGCGGCCGAGGATCGAACCATCGAAATGCCAGCAGACGCTCTATCCAAAAACGATATATCAAGGTATATGATATATCTAAGACAAAATTATCAACGATATATATGCAGATAGTAATCCCAAAGAGTTTTTGTTCTAAATTCCAGTTTATTCAATTATTGGAAACTTGATTCTAAGGAATTTAAGTTTAGATTTTTAATTTAGAACATATACGTAACTCTCGGTTCGGGGTTGATTATCATTTTAACAACCTTTGTGATGGACCGACTGTTGTTCTCCAACTTAAAATATTCCCTACTTCAAGAATTTAACAAAACCTTATTTGTGAAATACATGTGTGTCAATTTCATTTATCAATTACTTTCACACTTTTAACATACCGAAGGGGATTTTATCAAATATTTAGCTCTCAACAAGGATATAAATATATACCAAAGATAAGGACAACCCGATTCTTTCATATGGCTGTAGTTAATATGTCATGCCGTCAGCTGATACATACACATATACTGCTCAATAAAAGCTAAGGACCATCCGAGTCTTTATATTACTTTAGTTCATCTGTCATGTCATGAGCCAATGTCCTACACATATACTGCTCAATAAAAGCTAAGGACCATCCGAGTCTTTATATTACTTTAGTTCATCTGTCATGTCATGAGCCAATGTCCTACACATATACTGCTCAATAAAAGCTAAGGACCATCCGAGTCTTTATATTACTTTAGTTCATCTGTCATGTCATGAGCCAATGTCCTACACATATACTGCTCAATAAAAGTTAAGGACCATCCGAGTCTTTATATTACTTAAGTTCATCTGTCATGTCATGAGCCAATGTCCTACACATATACTGCTCAATAAAAGCTAAGGACCATCCGAGTCTTT